CGCATTTCACTGTTTTTAGTTTTCAGAAGTCTTACTATGATGTGTTTTGGCATAAATTTTTTTTGGGGGGTGGTTTATTCTGTCAGGAGTTTTACTCTGAGGAAATGCTCCTCAGCTTCTTGAATCTGTAGGTCTGAGTCTTTTCGCCACGCACGGGAGACTTCCAGAGCCCCTTTCAGTCCTGTCTTTCTATGACCCCAACACCACCACATGCATATCAGGCATTTGATTTGCCCCACGGGTCACCGAGACGCTGATAACTCGGCTTTTCTTTTCCCTTAGCTGTTTAAATTGGGTAGCTTCCATTATTCTGTCCTCTTTAGCGCCACGTCTGGGACCCAAAAGGCAGGAAGAAACGCAGCTTGTTCCCACTCGTCCTGCTGGGGGTTCCCGTCCTGACGGTCCTCGTCAGTCTCTTCCCACGTTTCAGAGTCTGTGCACTTGTTTCATATATAATGTCCTGAGGTTTTAGGATTGTTGTTGCAGTTTTGTCTCTAAGTCGTGTCTGACTCTGTGCAGCCCCATAGACGTTAGCCCTCCAGGCTCCTCTGTCCACGGGATTTCCCAGGCAGACTACTGGACTGCATGGCCAATCCGTTCTCCAGGGGATCGTCCCAACCCAGGGATCGAACCCAGGTCTTTTACATTGCAGGTAGATTCTTTACTGCCGAGCCACCAGGAAAGCCCAGATTTTAGGATCAGTTCAGTTCAGTCACTCAGTCGTGTCTGGCTCTTTGCGACCCAAGATCTGCAGCATGCCAGGCCTCCCTGTCCATCACCAGAGTTTACTTAAACTCAAGTCCATTGAGTCGGTGTTGCCATCCAACCGTCTCATCATCTGTCATCCCTTTATACTCCGACCTTCAATCTTAAGGAAAATATTTGCTTTCCATCTCCACAGAGGAAGAGGTTCTATAATCATTCATCTTTCTCCAGAGGAGTTTCTTTTGTGACTCTTGGGCATATCAGCATCTTAGGAGTCAGCTTTGCACAGCTTATCTGAGGGGTGTTGGCTGACTTTGCCACTTTCATGATGTTGCATCCTTGTACAGTGTAAACCTGTTCCTTACGGTGAGACCCCAAGTCTCTGAAAGTCACGTGATGTTTGATGGTGTTCTCATCATTCATCAAAAATTCCGATGTATCAAAAATGTCATTTAATAGGAAATGCAATATCCCAGTGAAATGCATGCTGCTTTTTTTTCTTTTGGATTTGAAATAATTCTCATCCTTGTCCTCCTCCCCCCGCCCCCTTCTACCGCTTTCTGTTTGATGTCCCTTCTCAGTGAGTGGAGACTGACCAATACTGCTTTACAGGGAGTCAGACAGTCTCCACGTTCCAGAGTCAGGCGCGTTGGACCTGGTGCTCCTCGTTTTTAAAATTAGCTTTTATTGGAGCACAGTTGCTTTACAAGGCTGGGCTGGTTTCTGCTGTATAGTGAAGTGAATCGGCTCTGCGTACACATACATCCCCTCCCTTTCGGATTTCCTCCCCGTTTAGGTCACCACAGAGCTCTGAGCAGAGTTTCCTGTGTTGCACAGTAGGTTCCCACTAGTTACCTATTTTATATGTAGCGTCAATAGTGTATACATGTGTCAAGGGGCGTGTCTCACACAGAGGGCGCTGTATCTAACTAAGCCAGCAGCCCTGAACACCGTTCAGCTCATAACCTCCCCAAACCACCCAGAATGCAGGGTGGAAGGCTCGGTGGCAGGGAGTGGTGGGGACTTTGATCACTAGGAAAGAAGCTTTGCAGGCTGCGGTGGTCGAGAGGCCTCCCAGGGCTTCGTCAAGACCTGGAGTGACGCTTTGACTTTCTTTACCACCTGTCTCCACCTGTGCACGTTCTTTGAAAGCTGGAGGCTCCTTTGTCACATTTATGGCTTCACCCATAGCACCTGGAACCAGGTAAGCACTCCATAAATAGTTACCGGAAAAGGAAGTAATAAAATTTTCACCCTTAAGGCCAATGCATTTCTTGAACAACATGTTTCTTTATATAAAGATATTCTTGAACTTGAACAGCTCTTACTGACTTGAGGATCTTACCTTGATGGAAACACCGCACCCTAAGTGACACTGTAATCTCTTGTGACATTGGAGCAGAGTCTAGCAAACATGTGTGCTTGTGGTATAAAGTGAAAAAGTGTAGGTCATCTGCTCAAACTTGAAGCACCTGTTCAAAACTTACCTATGATGAGAAATCCAGCTGCACTCAAAGATAGGCTCTCAAAAGGTGATAGCGATCTAGAGTCATATGAAAATTGCAAATTTAGTTCAACGGCTGAGACGCGTGTATATCTTGGAATAGTTTACATGCTGAAAGTGGAAGATGTGGGTGTGTTGAGATGCCTGCCTGTCCAACACAAAGACAATGGTCAGAACCAAGACTCAGTAGCTAGGGAACTCAACATCAGCCCCAAGCGAGGTGAAGCCATGTAAGGGCTGCAGGGGAGCCGGACTTGGTACAGAACAGATCCAGGTATTTTTAAAATAATCAGTTATAAAAGGCAAATTCCCAGTCCCAAAATTACTTCATGTTGATCACTGGTTGCCATCAGAAAATGTGAAATTTCTAAAATTTAGAAATTAAGCAAATAAATAGTCCAGATTTCAGGAATTGATTCATGGATGGGTGAGCAACCAGATATTTTTAAGAAGGGCTCCCCACTCACAAATCACACAGGAGTCCGTGGTTCCTGGGGCTGCTGACTGCAGACCTTCTGCAGGACCGGAGGGTTTTCATGTTCTGGTCCAAGCATAGGCTCTGGGCTGGGGTGAGTGCTCTGCGACTTGCAAAGTAAATAGCCCACTCTTCTGAGCTCTCGATTCTGTGCTGACTACAAATGTGGAGCACGTCAGGGAGGCATCCAACGTCTCAATAATGCATGCTCCCCAACACGTAATTATTTTGGAAACATCTGTTGAAGGAAAAGACGCTGCGAAGGGAACCTGGGAGTCAAAGAATCAGACTGTGTAGTCACATTTCATCCTCTGAACTGGAGTGGGGGCCTGGGCGCTGGGGAAGCCAGGATGCGGTTGTCTCCAGGCTCCCAGGAGAAAGTAGCCCTGGACAGACCGTCGTGTGTGGGACAGACAGACCCTCGATGGAAGGCACGCAGAGGTGGACTGAGAGAGGCCGGCTGTCCCCAGGGCTCAGAAGAGAAGGGTTCATCCTAGAAGATCAGGGACTTGTGCGTGCAGATGACCCATCCAGGGAGCCTCAGGTGGAGAGGGCAGGGCTTAGGGAAGCAGGGATCCCCCTGTTCGGCCGGCGTTTCAGGCCCATCAGGTAACCACCTTGAATGAGGGCATGGGGGTCATTTCCCCAGTGAAGAATCAAGACTACGATAGAGACCCCGTCAGGGCTTAGGGGTCAGGGATTGAGCCCCAGGTCCAGACACCCTCTGACCATCTCCAGAAGTGAGGAGGGGCTGTCTAGACACAAATGCCTCCTGTTCCCCTTCACAAACTATTTCTCAGTTATCCAGAGAGTTTTCAATCTGTAAATTCATACTTAGGCGTGGAAAGTGAAGAGAAAACCTTCAGCTCACACCGATCTGAGCCACTGCTAGTGGCTGAAGGGGGCTCAGAGTCCAGGACTGGGGAGGGGCCTGCAGGCTGGAGGAGTGGGTGGGGGGCTACTCCCAAAGGTCTGGCTCCAGCTTCCTGGGTTCCATCCCTGGCAATCTGACAACACTGCCCATTCAACCTCACTGCTCAGCGTCCCAGGGAGAGTGTTCTTTAATCAGGTCCATTTCAGCAAAACCTTTCAGGAGTGATAAATACACAGACATTACAGAAAAGATGATGGAGGGAGAGAACGAAATCAAATTCCAACTAGTGCAGGAGGAGCTGTGAGGAACATTGACAATTTCTTCATGACAGTTTTAGACCTAAAGTTCAGTATTTGTCTTTTGCCATTTTACCCGTGTGAATACCTGCCCCCTTCCCTCCCCACACATTCCCCAACATACAGTAGGGCTGCATCTGACCACTCTCCCCTAAGTGATACCGAGCAGAATACATGTCATTTTCCTCCCCCCTTAGAGCTTCAGGAATTTCACAGCCTCCCTCGGTAACTTTTTCAAATGCCAAGTATCTCCTGGTACTGTGATTTTTTTAAATTCTTGTTGTTTTTCAGTCACTAAGTCATGTCCAACCCTTTGAAATCCTATGGACTGTAGCACGCCAGGCTTCCCTGTCCATCACCAACTCCTGGAGCTTGCTCAAACTCATGTCCATTGAGTCGGTGATGCCACCCAACCATCTCATCCTCTGTCGTCCCCCTCTCTTCCCGCCTTCAATCTTTCCCAGCATCAGGATCTTTTCCAATGAGTCAGCTCTTTGCGTCAGGTGGCCAAAGTATTGGAGCTTCAGCTTCAGCATCAGTCCTTCCAATGAATCTTCAGGACTGATTTCCTTTAAGATCGACTCATTTGATTTCCTTGCTCTCCAAGGGTTTTGACTTGTTTTATTAAGATTCAATGAGATTTAAAAAACTTGTCATTACATGTAATAATTGCCTTCCATTTTATTTATTTTATCAGTCATCAGCATTGGTGCCTTCCATTTTAAAAACTATTATTTTATTTTGATTTTCATAGTATCTGCTACTATAACCAATTTAACCACGTTAGAAAATATTCCTTGCTACATTACAGACCTCATTCACATCAATGATTACTTAAAAATTGGGCCAGTAAATATTCCACAATTAATTAAGGATAATAAGGGCTTCCTGCATAGCTCAGCTGGTAAGGAATCCACCTGCAATGCAGGAGACTTGTTCAGGAAGGTCCCCTGGAGAAGGGAGTGGCAACCCATTCTCCACTCTTGCCTGGAGAATCCCATGGACAGAGGACCCTTGGGGGCTATAGCCCATGGGGTTGTAAGACATGACGTAGTGACTAAACCACCACAGATAAGGATAAAACAGTGAAAACAGGTGAAAGGCAGTTTTACAAAAAATATAGCTCTGTATTTTCTACGTCTTCAGAATTTCAGACTGTGGAAAAATACCTGGCACGTCACCGCTGGGCTCCAGCACGTTCTCTGCACTGAGTCTGAAGACAGACCTCGGGTTCCTGCTGGAGCCACTCGCCTACAGCCCCATCCTTCCAGTGGGCGGGTCGCAGGGAAGGCACTCGGCCCTGCTCCGCGGACAGCTCCTCACGCTGGCATGCCGGCAGCTCACCCGACGGTGACCTGGGGAGAACAGGAGCAAGGAAGACATCCGTTAAGGTAATTTGAAATTACTTAAGAATTTGAAAATTAGACTGGGAGTTTGGGATTGACATGTGCACACTACTGTATTTAAAACAGGTAACCTACTAGGACCTACCGTGTAGCAAAAAATAAATAAATAAAAGAAGGCCTTAAAGTTTCAGAAGAATTTGATTTCCTTGAATTCTACTCGAAAGGGAAAAAAATGTGTGTATGCATATCAGAGTGCATGTTATATTTATATGGAAATAGACAGAATGGCATGAAAAGGTTTGTCAAGTGCCTTGGGACATCACAGGTGAAACATACCGCTCGTGCATTAGTATTTACTGTGATGGGCATGGTATTCGGCATATGTGTGCAAAGGTCCATTAAGCACACATGGAAGAATTAGGGTGTTTTTCCTAAATTTGAGAATTAACTTGCTGTTTTAATAAATGAAGTCCAGTAAAAAATTTCAAATAGCTTTCGAGTGTTAATAGCATCACAGGGAGAAGACATGATTCATTTAAAAATCCGAGCATGACCTGTGGGAGGTGGTCCGAGCCTGTGAAGCTGGGGACCAGAGGCTGAGCATCGTGGGGTCACCTTTGGGGGCTGCTTCGAGGGGTCCTGCTGGGGACCTGCACTCGCTCGGCAGAGCTGTTGCGCAGAGCTGGACCGTCTACTGGGGGAGCCAGAGACTAGGGAAGGAGCCCTGCAAAGCCTGCGAGTGCCGTCACCAGCTCAGGGGCCGGGAGAGCTGGGCGCTGAGGGCCCGCAGCATCCACGCCCAGGGCCCTGGGACAGAGCCCCCGGCAGGACCCAGGAGAGAACCATGGAGAGAGGGAGTGGGAAAGAGGCAAGGCTGTGAGAAGCATCGGAGGAACAAAGGGAAGAGCTGCGCGTATGAGAAACTGGCACAAAGATGGCCCCGAAGTGGCCGAAGGACAGATCCACGTGTGGTGACCTTAGGAGGAAGTCAGTGCTCTTGGACCTCACCCCTGGACCGTCACTAGGCCAGGGCTGTGTCGGAGGCTCCAGAGTACATGCATGTGTACACGTGTGAGCATGTGCATGTGTGTGCACATGGGTGTGCACACGTGTGTGCACGTGTGTGGTTGCCAGCAGCCCCACGTGAAGTCTGGGAGGGAGCAGGAAGAGGAGCGGGTGCGCTCCGGGGGCAGGCCTGCTTCCTATCCTGCTCTGACTCTCCGTGGAGACAGACTTAGTCTGTCTTTTCAGGCAGACTTTGCTCTCAGACTCTGCTCTGACAAAAGTGGAAGGGTGGCGCGGTGTGTCTTAAGCACATATTTCTTTGTTTTCTGATACACACTAAAGCTTCAGCGCATCGGATTTCCTTGAACAGACATGCTGTATGTCCTCGTTCTGTAGCTCTCAGGACAACTAAGAATAAAAGAGGCATAAGCTGCCCAGACAGAGGGGCTGTGTCCCTGGGGCGCCTGCTCGGCTGGTGATGTGAGCGTCCCATGGGCGTTCCAGCCCCACCCCCTTCAGGTCCCCAGTTTGCTGAGGTTGGAGAACTTTTTCCCGGGAAAGACCACACTAGCCAGGACCCCTGACTCTGCCATGGTTCTCAGACGGGGGTCCTTCAGCCAGGACAGCACTGACACAGGCACATCAGTTCAGTTATTTCAAGGCACTGCCCAAGCTTCAAGTGTGCAAGAGAACTTCAGCGCTGTTGGCAGACAGTCAAAGTCTCGTTAGACAGTCTCTCGTGCAGTCTCTACCCCGGGAGCTCTCCAGCGGGTGAGACGGGATCCAGGGCACGGCACCCAGCATGGCAGAGGGGCACCCTCTGGGGGCCGGCCTCGGGGACAACTCCTCCGGACGGGCCTGGGATGGAGGCCCCTCCTGCGGACCATCCGGGGCATGAAGTCTCACTCCACCGAGAGGAACTTTCTAGCTCCGACAGAAAGTCTGGGCACAGGTGGGTGACAGGGGAGAGAAAACTATGAAAGCCGGGAAAACAAAACAGGAGCAGAAGTCTGTATGAGAGCGGACACTGCAGGCTATGGCGTGCGGCTTTGTGAACGTGTGCCCCTGTGCCAGGGTGGAAGTTCGGCCACGGTTAGAAGCAGAAAGTCAGTGCACAGGTTCTAAACCTAGAGAATTGGAACACAGCCGTGTAAATGGCTTACCTGGGAAAAAGTGAAGTTAAGCGCCTCCAGAAACCCCTAAAAGAATCAAGGGCTGATTCTCTTGTGCAGGAGGGTGGGTGTCGGGGGTCAGTGGAGGTGGTGGGGCTGCTCTCTGTTCAGCCGGCAGTAGGACCTGAGGTCTGGAATCCCGGCAGGTGCGGGTCTGATTTCACATCGGTAGCAGATGGGCCCGGTGGGGCAGCGGGTGGCCAGGCGCTGGGGCTCCAGGTCTCCTCTGCCACCCACATGCCCAGCAGCAGGCGGGTCCTCAGTGTGGCAGGCAGCCTGGCACCTTCTTTCTAATTATTGCCATAGCAGCCACCAGGCTGGATTAATGACGGCTGCCTTCCACCACCCAGACTCCTGGGCGGACGGGGAGCTTTGTCCATCATTTATCCGAGGATCCCCCGGCGCTTTGTCAGGAAGACGCAGCAGAGGAATAAATTACATTGGTTGCCAATAAGATCAGAGAGAGGGAAAGCACTCGATGGAGGGAGTCAGTGGTTTTCAGTGTAGAGGGTGCCGGATGAATGCAAAGCGGGGCTGTCTCTGTCGCCGCCGTGTCACCAGACCTCTGCCGAGGTGTCCAGGGCCGCCTGCTCACTCCGTGAGATGGACGGCTGCAGCCACTGGCTCTCGACGCTGCACACACGCGCCAGCCCCTGCGTGCTGTGAGGCGGGTTTCAGGAGCGCCTGAGTGTCTTCTTGACGATCTCACTGACCCAGTGTTACTTACAAGATAAAGCATGAATCGGAATAAAAAGCAAGCTGTTTCTATGAAGCCCAAGTTCAGTGCAATTAATAAATCACTTGAGAAGTTCTTGCTTGTCTTTAAAGAAAGCAAAGCAGGAGACAGTGGGTGAATTTGGGTCTGGGATGCGGGAAAGACATCAGGAATTACCGTCGGTAACCACGGAGAGGCCTCCACAGGCTGACTGCTGCAACAATTGTCCCAGGGACACAAGCTGAATGAAGCCCGGCAGGCAGACCAGGGGCTGGGGTGCCGTGTGGGGCTGAGGTTCCGAAGGCTCCCCCATTCCTCTTGGGGGAGAAGCGATTAACTCACTGGCCCTTGCTCTCTTTATCTTTGTTCACTGATGCATTGATCAGACGCGGAAACTCCTCCTGAAAAAAACTAGTTATTTGGTTCTAGTGGAAAAACAAGTGTGCCTAAGCTGAAAAATCTCAGTAAGCTACACATTGCTTATTATTTATGTATTTATTCTTGTCTGCACTGGGTCTTCCTTGTGGTGTGTGGGCTTCTCTTGCTATGGTGTGTGGTTCTAGACAGCGTAGGCTTAGGTGCCCAGCAGCATGTGGGATCGTAGTTGGCTGACCAGGAATCAAACCCGCATCCCCTACATTGGGAGCACGGATTCTTAACCAATGGACAACCAGGGAAGTCCCTGCACGCTATTCAAAAAGTGGAGCACAGCACAGCCAAGAATGCACATGCCTCCCCAAAAAGAGTGCTTCCCCAAGTCACTGTTTGGAATACAAGAGTAGCAAAGTACAAAAAAAGAGACTGCATAGTCAGAAGTGTGAACTCCACAGTAATGGGGATCAATGTAAAGGCTTGAGTCCTTATTTGATAATTTAGCAAAAACCAATCAATACAAACTTGAGTTAAGACTGAGGTCTACATGGAATAATCTGAGGGGAATATCTGAAGATCCTCTTTTGCAGAACAGGTTTATCTGGATTGTAATTCTGAACCACCATGTTTGCTGTTGAATTGCTAGGCATGTCTGGCTCTTTGTGATCCCATGGACTGCAGCACACCAGGCCTCCCTGTCCATCACCATCTCCCAGAGCTTGCTCAAACTCATGTCCATCGAGTCAGTGATGCCATCCAACCATCTCATCCTCTGTGGTCCCCTTCTCTTGCTCTCAATCTTCCCCAGCATCAGGGTCTTCTCCAAACCATTACATTACTATATCACTAACACTGGTTTTTAAATTGCTTGTTGTACCATATGCTAGGCAGTGCTTTTAATGGTTTTCACTCGTGTTACAGAGTAAGATTAGCATCTGAGTCTCAGATGAGAACCAGGCCCCCTGGACACCCAGGGAAGCCTCTACACACTCTGTAAAAGGCGGAGCATGGCCGAGAATATGCATGTTTTCCCCAAACAGGGCCAGTGTATTCATCTTCATCCTCAGCCTGCGTCTCTATCTCTCTATCACCTATCACTTCCTCTCTTCCTTTCTCTGTCTTACATCTATCTACCATCTATCTCTATTTGAGTTGGCCTCAGGAACCAGAGATCAAATTGCCAATGTTCGCTGGATTGTAGAGTAAGCTAGGGAATTCCAGAAAAATGTCTACCTCTATTTCATCGACTACACTAAAGCCTTTGACTGTGTGGATCATAATAAACCCTGGAAAGCTCTCAAAGAGATGGGAATACCAGACAATCTTACCTATCTCCCGGGAAACCTATATGTGGGTCAATAAGCAACAGTTAGAACCTTGTAGGAAAAACTGATCAATTCAGGATTGAGAAAGGAGTACCACAGGGCTGTCTGCTGTCCCCCGTTTACTTAGTCTATGTGCTGAGACATCATGGGAAATGCCGGGCTGGATGAGCTACAAGCTGGAATCAAGACAAGTGGGAGAAACGTCAACAACCTCAGATAGGCGAATGATACCACTCTAAAGACAGAAACTGAAGAGGAGCTAAAGAGCCTCTTGAGGGTGAAGGAGGACAGTGAAAGAGCTGGCTTAAAACTAAATATTAAAAAAACTAAGATCATGCCATCCAGCCCCATTACTTCATGGCAAATAGAAGGGGAAAATGTGGAAGTAGTGACAGATTTCCTCTTCTTGGGCTCGAAAATCACTGCAGATGGTGACTGCAGCCTTGAAATCAGATGTTTGTTTCCTGGCAGGAAAGCTATAACAAATCTAGACAGTGTGTTGAAAAGCAGAGACATTACTCTGCTGACAAAGGTTCATATAGTCAAGGCTATGGTCTCCCCACTGATCATGTACAGTTGTGAAGAACTGATGCCTTCGAACTATGGTGCTGGAAAAGACTCCTAAGAGTCCCTTGGACAGCAAGGAGATCAAACAGGACAATCTTAAGGGAAATCAACCCTGAATATTCACTGGAAGGACTGAGGCGGAAGGTAAAACTCCAGAATTCTGGTCATCTGATGTGAACAACTGACTCATTGGAAAAGTCCCTGATGCTGGGAAAGATTAAGGGCAGAAGGAAAAGAGGGCATCACAGGATGAGATGGCTGGACAGCATCACCGGTGCAATGGGTGTGAACTCAGGCAAACTTTGGGAGTTGGTGAGGGACATGGTGGTCTGGCGTGCTGCAGTCCATGGGGTTGTAGAGAGTCAGACGCAACTGGGCTACTGAACAACAAAAACAACAGTTTTGGAGACTGAGTGATGGACAAAAGAAGCATGTCTTTACCCTCAGGGAGATAAATTCTAATAGAAATTGAAGATATCAAACACAACTATAGAAATAGGATTCTGTGTGTGGTTGCAATTAATGGTAACATCTATTAGAAAAGATTTCAGACTCTTACATAAGGGAGAGTGCATGCAGCAGGTAGGCACAATACTGTCTGGGAAGAAAGCTTATTAGAAAAAAGGGCTTTCTCCTCTGCGTCTATTACGATCTATCAGTTATGGCAGCCCATCTTTCCATCTTTGAGTAGCTAGAAAAGTTGAATAAAAACACAAAGAACTAAAATTGATTACAGGTTTGGGGAGCTACTGAGATACCTACTAGTTAAACAAAAAAGATGTACGATAGTTTGTTAATAAGGTGTTAATGTTGAACTACTAGTGGGCCTGTTAACATGGGTCAGCAGATTTGTGTTTTCTCCCTAGTTTACAACTCTTATGGTAGTTTGTTATTACCTTAATTATAGTGCTTCCCTGGAGGCTCAGACGGAAAAGAATCCACCTGCAGTGGGGGAGACCTGGGTTCAATCTCTGGGTTGGGAAGATCCCTTGGAGGAGGGAATGGCTACCCACTCCGGCATTCTTGCCTGGAGACTCCCACGGACAGAGGAGCCTGGTGGGCTACAGTCCGTGGGGTCGCAGAGAGTCAGACACAACCGAGCGACTGAGCACAGCACAGAGACGTCTAGAGAGGTAAGAGGCCTGGACAGAGGGACAGAGAGGGAAGTGGGCTGGCTTCCAGAGCCACTTTCCCCTCGTGCAGATTCTGACACGGTATGGCACTCAGAGTCAGGAAGGATGCATAGAACTGCCAACATGCTCCTCGGCCGGAGATAAAAACTGAAGTTCAGGTCATGTTGCTCCCTAAGTCTGTTATCGGGCATATAGGTATCTATAACTGCTGACTCCTCCAGGTGCAATGGCCCTTTTAACAAGCAATAATGAGCCTGGGGGTCTCTAGTCAAGCTCTTGGACAAAAACCCCTCTTGTCTGATATTTCCAGGGCCAATATGGCTTTTATGTGCTTACAGTTGGCCTAGGCATTTTTTCCCTAATCTTTTGGTTTCCGTCACTTTATGTTCAAGCATTTAAAGTTCATCTCTGATAGAGTGTTGTTGGCTCTCATTTTTTTAAAAAAATTTGTTTATTTTTTTATTTTTGGCTGTGCTGGTTCTCTGTCGCTGCCCAGGGGGCTTTCTAGTGGCTGAGAGTGGGGGCTGCTCTCCAGCTGTGCTTCCATTGTCCTGGCATCACTTGTTGTGGGGTGCAGGGCCCTCGGGGGCACAGGTTTCAGCAGCTGCAGCTCACAGGCTCAGCAGTTGTGGTTCACAGGCTTTGTGGCTCCAAGGCATGTGGAATCTTCCTGGCCCAGGGATCGAACTGTTGTCTCCTGTATCGCAAGGCAAATTCTTAACCACTGGACCACCAGGGAAGCCCAGTTCTTGCTTTATTGTTCTGTCTGACAATCTTTGCCTTCACTGAAGTGTTTAAAGCTATGGTTTTCCCAGTAGTCATGTATGGATGTAAGAGTTGGACCATAAGGAAAGCTGAGCACCGAAGAATTGATGCTTTTGAACTGTGGCATTGGAGAGTCCCTTGGACTGCTAGGAGAGCCAACCAGTCCATCCTAAAGGAAAACAGTCCTGAATATTCATTGGAAGGACTGATGCTGATGCTGAAACTCCAATACTTTGGCCACCTGATATGAAGAACTGACTCATTGGAAAAGACACTGATGCTGGGAAAGATTGAAGATGGGAGGAGAAGGGGACGACAGAGGATGAGATGGTTGGATGGCATCACCAACTCAATGGATATGAGTTTGAGTAAACTCTGGGGGATGGTGATGGACAAGGAAGCCTGGCATGGTGCAGTCCATGGGGTCTCAAAGAGTCAGACATGCCTGAGTGACTGAACTGGAGTGTTTAGTCCATTTACATTTAATGTACTTATCCGTACAATGCTTTAGGTCTGCTATTTTGCTACTTGCTGTTTATTTGTCTCATCGGTTTCAGTCTTTCTGTCCCTCTTTTCTGATCTTCTTCAGTGTTAGTCAGATACTTTCCAGTCTTGGCGGTGGTCATGAAAACGCAGCTTTCAGATCTCTAAGTGCAGAGCCCTGCTGCAATACGCATTCATCAGTGTTTGTGAGACGGCCACGCTCCCACAGCCAGGTCCTGGTCGGGAGTGTGCAGCCCTGCCCTCTGAGACGTGGGCCTCCCTGGGGGGTCACTTTTCCTTGAGGACTGCATTGGCCTTATCACACTCCGCTGGCCCACATCACAGTCTCAGCCTCCTACTCCTTCCCTCTCTCCCATGGGAGGGGGTCTGCGTCAAGATCTGACCCAAACTCCCTGTGGGCGTCTTCTCCTAGAGGTCGCTCAGATGTCTAATCCCATCTTTGTGTTTGCTCCTTGGAGAGCACACTAACATGAAGCTTTATTTTAACGCTTTTACTGACTTCCTCGCTGCGTCTCTGCGTTAGTGCTTAGACACTGCGATTACAATGTGCATCTTAAACTTAACCCAATCTGCTTAGAGGTGATATTCAATTACGTCAGGTAAAATGTGGACTCCTTATAATCAAATGAAGAAGTGAAACTCAAGGTATACATGAAGGATGGATAAAATTTAGCAAAGAGAAAGACAGGGTAGAAAGAACTTTCCAGGAAAATGTTATATTGAATAACAAGCAATTGCCTGGAACAGGAGGGGTGAGGAGAAGGGTGTCCTGAGGGGCTGGACACAAAACACGAACAAAACTGGCCTGTGGGGGGCACTTAAGAAGTGTCCCAAGGCACAGGCGATTCCTGCGAATCTCCACAGACACGGTGGGAGGGGAGGATTCCCACCGCGCGCACCTCACAGACAAACAGGCTCGCCCGCGTCCTCCAGTCACACGGGGAGGCTGGGGGCCGGGCTGCAGCCGGCCGGGTGAGGCAAAAGGCAGCTGAGAGGGTTCGGCCTCTAGGGGGCAGGGGCTGACCCAGGAGCCATGAAGTAGGACGCGGGGTTAAGGCTTTGCAGCAAAAGTCGTCAAACGCCTTCCTAACCTCGCCGGCCTGGGTGAGACCGACCTGTGGCCCCCGCCTCCAGCTGCCCTGGAGGTGTGGTCTCCACCACCAGGCCCCGCCTCCTCCTCCACCAGGCCCCGCCTCCTCCTCCACCAGGCCCCGCCTCCTCTGCCCAGGCCCCACCTCCTCCACCACCAGGCCCCGCCCCCCACCACCAGGCCCCGCCTCCTCCACCACCAGGCCCCGCCTCCCCACCACCAGGCCCCGCCTCCTCCGCCACCAGGCCCCGCCTCCTCCGCCCCAGGCCCCACCCGCGCCCCGATGCCCCAGCGCTGCACTCTCTCCGTGGCCCAGCCCGTCCCCGGGTTTGGTCCAGAGGCAGTGGCCGTGCCGGGCGCCTGTCCTCGGCGCCCTCGGGGGAGGGCGAGGCTTCGTCCTCAGAGCTGGCACTCCTGGGGCGGGACGCTGAGGCCACGCTGGGGCTGGACCAGGCTGTCAGCACAGTGGGCTGGAGAGACAGCGAGGCGGGCTGCGGTGTCAGGACCGGGACTCCTGGTCAGCCTGTGCAGCAGGAGTCTCAGGGCAGCCACTGAGGAGGCCTGGCTGCGGCTGTGTGGGCGCCAGGATGTTCTCTCCTGGAGGGGCGGGGGGAGGGGAAGGGAGGGGAGAGGGGAGGAGGGAGGGGGATGGAAGGGGGAGAGGAAGGGGATGGAGGAGGGAGGAGGGATGGGAGGAGGGAGGTAGGGGAGGGGGGGAGGAAGGGGAGGAGGGAGGTAGGGGAGGAGGGAGGAGGGATGGGAGGGGGGAGGAAGGGGAGGGAGGAGGAGGGATGGGAGGAGGGAGGTAGGGGAGGGGGGAGGGAGGAGGGATGGGAGGGGGGGAGGAAGGGGAGGGGGGAGGAGGGATGGGAGGAGGGAGGTAGGGGAGGGGGGAGGGAGGAGGGATGGGAGGGGGGGAGGAAGGGGAGGGAGGAGGAGGGATGGGAGGGGGGGAGGAAGGGGAGGGAGGAGGGAGGAGGGATGGGAGGGGGGAGGAAGGGGAGGGAGGAGGAGGGATGGGAGGAGGGAGGTAGGGGAGGGGGGAGGGAGGAGGGATGGGAGGGGGGGAGGAAGGGGAGGGGGGAGGAGGGATGGGAGGGGGGGAGGAAGGGGAGGGAGGAGGGAGGAGGGATGGGAGGGGGGAGGAAGGGGAGGGAGGAGGAGGGATGGGAGGAGGGAGGTAGGGGAGGGGGGAGGGAGGAGGGATGGGAGGGGGGGAGGAAGGGGAGGGGGGAGGAGGGATGGGAGGAGGGAGGTAGGGGAGGGGGGAGGAGGGATGGGAGGGGGGGAGGAAGGGGATGGAGGAGGGAGGAGGGATGGGAGGGGGGAGGAAGGGGAGGGGGGAGGAGGGATGGGAGGGGGGGAGGAAGGGGAGGGAGGAGGGAGGAGGGATGGGAGGGGGGAGGAAGGGGAGGGAGGAGGGAGGAGGGATGGGAGGAGGGAGGTAGGGGAGGGGGGAGGAGGGATGGGAGGAGGGAGGTAGGGGAGGGGGGAGGAGGGATGGGAGGGGGGGAGGAAGGGGAGGGAGGAGGGAGGAGGGATGGGAGGGGGGAGGAAGGGGAGGGAGGAGGGAGGAGGGATGGGAGGAGGGAGGTAGGGGAGGGGGGAGGAGGGATGGGAGGGGGGAGGTAGGGGAGGGGGGAGGAGGGATGGGAGGGGGGGAGGAAGGGGATGGAGGAGGGAGGAGGGATGGGAGGAGGGAGGTAGGGGAGGGGGGAGGAGGGATGGGAGGGGGAGGAAGGGGAGGGGGGAGGAGGGATGGGAGGGGGGGAGGAAGGGGAGGGAGGAGGGAGGAGGGATGGGAGGAGGGAGGTAGGGGAGGGGGGAGGAGGGATGGGAGGGGGAGGAAGGGGAGGGGGGAGGAGGGATGGGAGGGGGGGAGGAAGGGGAGGGAGGAGGGAGGAGGGATGGGAGGAGGGAGGTAGGGGAGGGGGGAGGAGGGATGGGACGGGGGGAGGAAGGGGAGGGGGGAGGGAGGAGGGATGGGAGGGGGGAGGAAGGGGAGGGAGGAGGGAGGAGGGATGGGAGGAGGGAGGTAGGGGAGGGGGGAGGAGGGATGGGAGGGGGAGGAAGGGGAGGGGGGAGGAGGGATGGGACGGGGGGAGGAAGGGGAGGGGGGAGGGAGGAGGGATGGGAGGGGGGAGGAAGGGGAGGGAGGAGGGAGGAGGGATGGGAGGAGGGAGGTAGGGGAGGGGGGAGGAGGGATGGGAGGGGGAGGAAGGGGAGGGAGGAGGGAGGAGGGATGGGAGGAGGGAGGTAGGGGAGGGGGGAGGAGGGATGGGAGGGGGAGGAAGGGGAGGGGGGAGGAGGGATGGGACGGGGGGAGGAAGGGGAGGGAGGAGGGAGGAGGGATGGGAGGAGGGAGGTAGGGGAGGGGGGAGGAGGGATGGGACGGGGGGAGGAAGGGGAGGGAGGAGGGAGGAGGGATGGGAGGAGGGAGGTAGGGGAGGGGGGAGGAGGGATGGGAGGGGGGGAGGAAGGGGAGGGAGGGGGAGGAGGGATGGGAGGGGGGGAGGAAGGGGGGAAGGAAGCGGGGGAGGGGAGGGGAGGGCCACTCTAGGGGCCGGTCCTGACACGCCTTCCCCCATGTGGGTCATGGGGGCCTTGGGGCCGGGTGCTCCGTACACAGTGGGTGGTGTGTTGGGGGGACTTCCGGGTCAGCACCCTGTCCTCCATCAGCCGTGGTCAGCACCTCACTCTCTTCACTGAACGTAAGGCTACAGGTCTTGGCCAAATTCCAGCAGGCCATCCAGGCTGCGCTTAAATTAGAGCCCGGTCTCCCTCCTGGAGTTGTGGAGGAAAGAAATGCCAGGGGTGTGGCTTTATGTTTCAAAATGCAGGGAGACTGCAATCCCCACTTTCTGCAGAAATAAAAACACACTTTACGTTGTCCGTGAATTCAGCAGGGTTCAATTCTGGGCTTTAAACCAGTGAACCCCCGGCTTGCATTTGGGTCCCCGCGTCACGGCCGGCTTGTGTCCCCTTGTCATTCCTTCACTGGGTGTCCAGCACTGTCGTCACACACACGGGAGCAGGGGCACATGCATTTGCACACACACCTGACCCTGCGTGCACACACCTGTGCCTGTTTTTCTGCCATGCTTCTTCCACGGTTTCTATCCGCAGGGGCCTGCAGCGTCCGTGGGAAATGTCCCCAGTGTGTCCCTCCCGACCACGTGCAAGCCCACTCCCCAGCCCTGCCCTCTGTGTCCCATGTCTTCACCCTCAGAAACTGTGGCTGCATCCCCGGAAGCTGCTCAGAACAGTTAAGTGAGGACGGGGCTTCGATCTGCCTCCAACAGCCCTCTCGCTTGGACCCTCCCGAGATGGGCCCTCTGTGCGACGGCCTGGACCGGAAACCGGCCACACTCCCCATCCCGCTTGAGAGCCCTGGGTCAGTTTGCAGTGTCAGAGCTGACGGGGGGCTCAGGAGGGCAGAGAAAACACTTCCTCCCTCCGTTCCGGAGCGCCCTATCTTCTGCCCCTTTGCAAAGCAGCAGAAGCGAGCAGAACCCTGGGAGGAGAGTCAGGTCGTTTCTGCCGCGCGCTCTCTCTGGCTCGCCTGCCTTATTTCTGGACGTGGGTTGCTCAATAATTCAGGAGGAGCAAGAATCGGCATATCTTAGCGCATACTTGATGTGCCAACACGCAGACTGCAGACTCTTTCATTTCAATTAGCCTCTTTGTTGCCAACGAAAGCCTGGCAAAGCCCCCTGCGAGCGGCCGGGCCATGGCGTCGCAGGCCGGCTGGGGTCCCTTTCTCCCCCGCTCCTCCTGCCTCAGCTGCTCCTTCGCCTCCTCGGGCTTATCCGCGCTTGTTCCCGTATCGCCTTACCTGGGATCAGGTGTCTTTGCCAGCACACAGGCCGGGGTCGCCTCCCTCCTGACTCTCTGATCTCTGGGCTAATTGGCTCAGGTGTAAGCCGAGCCAGTGGGCCGTGGCTTTGAAGTGGCGGTGCGGTGCCCGTGGACCCTCGCCGTCTGTGCGTCAAATGCCAGCCGCAGCCCCGGCTCGCCACGAGGGCCTCTAATGAAAAACAAGACAAAACAGGAGCCATCAGGCCCTACTACCAGGCTCCGGGCTGCGCACTACCTCACTGTGAGTGCGTCGTTAGTTTTGCAGGCTGGGCCTGGCTGTGATGGGACCTGAGCCAGGGCTGTCAGGGCCTGGGCAGGGTGCTGGCAGCTCCTCCTTTGCAGGTGAAGCCACCCCACGCTTTGATCAATGCAGTTGCTTCACTTCACAGGTGCAGGGCCAGCTCGCCGGCCCACACGGAGCTCTGCTTGACTGCTGTGTAATCACTGAGTGGTCAGCCCCATGGCACAGACCACTGGCTGCCTGGCCTGATGGCCTTTCTCGGCCCCTTCAAAGGACGTACAGGGCTCCGACCTCGGCGGCGTGACCCAGAGACCGCTTTAAAAAGGAGCAAAAGCAGGTGCAGCCAACTCTGAGTTTGCCCAGATTCTGTTTCCAACCCTCAAACCCGTGGCGTGAAAGGGGCACTGAGCGTGAGCTCTTCCCGAGGAGTCTGGCTGCCGGACACTCCCCAGAATCCTGCTCGCCTCCGGGAACCGCTTGGTGACCCGTCCCCTCGGCCACCCCCTCAAGCTCCGCTCTGTGTCCGGGACTCCCAGAACTCCCCATGCTCAGCTTGAGGCTAAACCTGAAGCTCCTTCCAAACCCTCTTTCTGATGAGATAGTTTGAGAAACCAGACCTTCACGTAACCATGGCAGATGTAGGGAGTAGGCTCTGGTCTGATTTAAAGGATAAACTTGGGACTCCCATGATCTTCCACACAGGAGCTGTCCGTGTGTGGACTGCCTGTGTGCTCAGGACCGCTGCTTGGGGCCCTCAAAACCACCTATGAGTTATAATTTGTTCTTCAGACAGCATCCTCCTACTTGATTATTCCCAAGAAGGAAACGCTAAGATTTGTGCTGGGAAAATATTTTAAAAATCCTCACCACAGGATAAAATTGTTGGCATGTCATATAGATCAAGCATAATTTTATAATCTTCAATCTGCAGCACTTATTATGTTATATAATGTGGGGTGTATATGCAAAGGAATATTACTCAGCCATGAAAAAGATGAAGGCTGTGCCATTTGCAGAGGCATGGATGGGCCTAGAGGCTGGCATGCAGAGTGAAGAGAGTCAGAAGGAGAAAAACAAACATCATAGATTAATGCATGTATGTGGACTCTAGAAAAATGGTACAGATGAACCTATTTGCAAAGCCGAAATAGAGACGGGGATGTAGAGAACAGATGTGTGGACTCCGGGAAGGCAGGGGAGGGTGGGGTGAATTTTGAGGTTGCCATGTATGCACTGCTGCGTGTGAGAGAGATAACTGACAGAACCCACTGATTAGTACAGAGAGCTCCACCCGGCGATCTCAATGGGACGGAAATTCATGTATGTGTGTGGGGAGCCGCCTCACTTCGTCGTTCGGCAGAACCTGATGAGACCCTGTAAAGCAACTATCCTCCAACTAAGATATTTTTAAAAGCTTTAAGACTGGGATCTGGATAAAATAAATGACTGTCGCTTGAATATTAAGAAAGCCCATTTTGTCTCCTTTGTTTAGTGACACACGTGAAGCTTTTATGAAGGATTTTAAGACAATGGAGAATATGCATCTCCTTCCCCCACCCAACTCACATAAATTCCTCTTACTTGGTCATTTGAATACAGAACTCATTTAAATTCTCCAAGCCACATCCTGGACCTACAAACTTTCCATAGGTGCTTTGAAGAGTCATACCTCATGCACTCTTGACATTTCCAGGGAAACCATGGACCACGGTCTCTGCAGAATGGTTTAGCTCTCTGGCCCTTGGTTTTTAATTATTACTGAGGGAGAAAGCCAGGGGAGCAAGGAATTAGCAGAACGTCCAGCCTTTCCTCCAGAGCTCGGCTAATTAGTGAACAGCAACTAAATGACCACCTCGCTCCATGAGGGTGGTTTGGAGGATGCTTCCAGACAGACAGAAAACAAACAAACAAACAAAAAAGCAGCAACTCAAGTTTGTTATCTACTGCCCGAATCTATCAGGTGGTGCAGGGTTTAAGCGAAGATGTGGCATTACACAGGTGTATTGCATTAAAGGAAGCGTGCTTCATGTAGAAAATCACATCTAGAAAGGTTAAGGCACTGAGGTTTTTTTTCGCATTGCCACTGAAGTTTGGCAGAGGTGTGCTATTCTGGGCTTTCTGCATATTTTATGTCTATCATCTCTGGAGACCTGAGTCGCATGTCAGCAGTATGGGGAAGTGGCAGCTGAGTCCCAGGGAGTAGTCCGGCCGCCTTGTCATGATCCACATGATTGTTCCACAAATCCATCAGGATGGGCTTGGAGCGAGGCTCCCTCCGAGTTCAGTGAGGTTTGACGGAGGATGCTGGAGGGTTGGGGAATGGCCCTGGTCCTCCGGCTCACGGGTGGAGGGGCAGCTGAGTCAGGTTGGCCCGCGAGATGGCCTGGCCTCCCTTGCCCGACTGCCCATCCGCTGTCCATGAGGGAAATGGACAGGGAGGGATGAGACACACGAGATGCACCGGTCCACTTTACAGATGGGGAAACTGAGGCAGGGTTCACAGTCAGATAGCTGAATTCTCTGTTTATTGCAAAGCATGCAGTCACCTTCGTGCCTCCCAGTGAACACCGTTCAAGGACACGGCTCCACGGAAGCGCCCACTCCTGGGAACAGAGCATCACGTTTCCTGGAACAAGCAGCAGAAGTCGCAGCAGTCTGTTTTTGTCATCGGTTTGTTTGAGTGCCTAGTTGTGTTTAAGTGGGAGCATTACCTGGAGATGCTAGAAAGGAACGGAAGGCAAGGGTGGTTTTATTCATCACCTTCCATGAAGGAGGAGGCCGCCAAGAGCTTGCTAAAGACACAAAGGAAGGACGCTTCAGAGACACCTGCACACACAGCCCCTGACACAGGCGCTGGGCAGGGGAGCACGGCACACACTCAGGTGACAGCTGGCTTCCTGGGCTTCCGTGCGGCAGACGGGCTGCTGGCGCGGTGTCCACGGGGGTCTGTCTCTCTGCCGGCCACGGGGATGTCATTAACACATGCACACCACTCACCTGGGCCAGCTACTCCTGAGGACACCGTTATAATGAGCCTCCCTGTGTGATTTTGCAAGGGCTATTCTTTGAGAAGCTTAGAGCTCATTACCGACATTATCCTGCAAATTCTCCAACCACCCAAAGAAGTGTTTTCATATATTTATTCCTTTTCCCCCAGTCCCAGCCCCAGAGAAGAGCTTTGTGGAAGAGAGGTCATCTTTGCGACTAGTGGATAATTATACTCCCAGTTAATTTAATACAAATGACCTGCATGAGTGATCTATGCCCAAAACATGGTTTTTCTTGGTATTATTTTTTGATCTGAATTTTCAAGAATTGTTCACACTCTCCACTGAATTTTTAAAATTTGTAGGTAGCACATCAGTAATTCCTTTCCGGATGGTACTGCTTTCTTGCTCGTAAACAGCATAAATGCCAGTATTCTTCACATTGAGTTAATTCCGGAGTATTTTACTGAAAACATTCTTCCTGGTTGTCTCATCTCCTCCATCTTTCGTCTCTGTCCCCTCATCTTCTTTTTCTCCGGCACCACCTTCCCCAGCTCTGCGTGGTCACGCTCTTGTTCCTTTCATCAAGCTGGTCTTTCAGTCCTGATCGCCCTCCCACTCTGCATCAGCCACAGAGACAGCGAGAGTCCTGCTCAGTAAGGACCATGGTCAGCAGACAAGAAGGCGGCTGTGACTCCAAGCTCATGTTCACGGTCTGTGAGCTCTCACAACCACGGCTAACAGATACGGGCCCCTGTGCGTCAGGAACCTTTCTAAGCTCCTCACGGAGGCTCACTCACTGAACCCCACACCGTGCAATTCGGCAGGTGCTATTACCATCCACGCCTTGCGGAGGAAAAGGTACAGAGTGGCTCACCCCCCAGGGAGAACACCTCAAAGCTGACGCACAGGTGTGAAGCCCTAGGTGAGCCGGGGCGACTTAAGGATCTTTGCCGACTCCAGGAATCAGAAGGCTTGGTTTTGTTGTCTCCATTTTCCTGAGCGACCAAGGTCTGGCTTGAGCAAGGAGAGAAGTGCATTAGGACTCCAGGTCTTGCTGTCTGCGGAGGCCTGGGGGCTTGGGAGCTCACGTTTGACTATGTGTCACAAGACCCAAGCTCCTGCTGCTCCAGCAGGTGAAGGCTTACGTGTCTCTTGCGGCACGCTTCTGGAGGTCCTCAGCCCAGGGCCAGTGAGCGGTCAAGAAGAGTCCACGAGAGACCTGAGCACTGTCTTTCTCCATGCGCTCCCAAGAAAACTGGTCAGTGAGTCTGTCTTTTTTGGTCAAGGAAATGGAGGCATCCCAGGAATTTCCATTAGGTAGAATCCTACTTATGTCTCATTGGACATCAACCATCTCTGCCTGTAAAGGAGTCATCCTTTAGTTGGATGTGGAAATGTGCCTAGAATAAAGTTCTTTAAGTAGGGAAGGTGAGAAAATAAGATAGACAAAGAGTGGCCTCTGCCATAGGGAGGACATTGAGAAAAAAATAAAATTTGCTTGTTTTCAAATGGAGTCATATCTCTAGGAAGGAAAGTTAATGTAAATTAAAAACATATATCCACATTTTGTCTTTTCTAAAGGCAAATTTGGATTATCTGTAATGCATAAGAAATTCCAACCAGTAAACTAAATTAAAAGCCTAGGCTGATATCAACCTAGACCAGTGATAGAAGCAAATGAAAATCTCTCTAGAAGAAATATCATCACCCAAACCCCTCAGAATTCTCTACCTTGAGATATCCCAATATAAGTTTACAATTTAAAAATGTAGGAAACCCACACACAAAATCAGCATGAACACAAAAATAGGCAGGAAAAAATAGTAAAAGATTTCAGATGTTTGAATATTCATGTACATAATACAAAATAGGCATGTCTAAAATTTTAAAAGAAAGAAGAGACTATAGAAAATACCATGTTTGGCATAGTACCAAAAAGAACTACTAGAATGAAAAATGCTAGCAATGAAAATAAAACAAAGCGAAATAAATCCTCAGCGAATGCTCCCA